GCTGAAGAGGCATTCAAGATTCTTAAGAAGCGGTTCACTTCAGCACCTATCCTTCTTATCCCCAATGCTGATGAACCCTTCACTGTGGAGGCTGATGCCTCTGAGGTGGGCATTGGAGCAGTGCTAACGCAAAGGGGTGAAGATAAAAGGCTTCATCCATGTGCTTTTCTCTCTCACTGTCTAACCCCTACTGAGAGAAATTACCATGTGGGAGATAGGGAGTTGTTAGCCGTGAAACTGGCTCTCGGGGAATAGAGACACTGGCTCGAGGGGGCGAAACACCCATTCCAAGTTCTTACTGACCACAAGCGTGCGTCCGGACCAAAGAGTCTGGCTTTCCACCAGGAACATTCCCCTACGGGTTGACTCCAGGAAACTATCCCAGAAGTTTATTGGTCCATTCAAGATCGCCAGGAAAGTAAACCCAGTCACCTACAAATTATACTTGCCAAAATCTTTAAAGATAAACCCTACCTTCCATGTGTCTTTACTAAAACCAGTTTTGTCTTCTCCTTTCTTTGTGACAGGTAAACCTCCCCCTCCTCGTTTTGTTGGAGGCCAAGCAGTCTTTACAGTCCGCCGGATACTGGACACCCGTAAAGTACGCAAAACTCGACAGTATCTCGTGGACTGGGAAGGCTATGGCCCTGAGGAGCATTCCTGGGTCCTTGCCAAGGACATTTTAGATCCGAGACTCATTCGAGACTTTCACGCTCTTAAGATGAAATCACTCGGCAAGAACGTCAGGAGCCGTTCCTAGAAGGGGGGGCCCTGTCAGGGTTTTTGGTTAATTTTTCATGTAATGTTTTTTATTCGCCACTAGATGTAGCCATTTCAACTTTTCTTTTTCTGGTTACCTGTAATCACAGAGATCAGTTTTACATGTTCCTTGTTTAGTTGTTTGTATAAAAGTAACCCTTTTTTTCCTCTGTTCTTTGCTCGGTTATTGTTGACCCATGCCTGTCGCCTACAGTGAGTTCTTCCTTCTTGTTATTTAAGCTAGTTCTCTTGTAACTAATATTCCTTGGAGTTTTTTGGAATTTTTCTGTTCAGAAGTTTTTGCCTGTCTGACTTGATGTACCTTTTGAAACCTGAAGTTTCCTGTTTTTGTTAACTGTTTTTCATCTTCCATTTGAAGATTGTTTTTTGTTGCTAATAAAACTCCTCAAGGAATCTGATAGTGTCTCATTGCTGGGTTCTTCAACTACCAGTGGCTTAGTGGTAAGGAGTCCACACTCACACGGCAGGAACCTGGGTTTGATCCCTGAGCCTGACAGAATAACCGAGCCTAACATGAACCCAGAGACTCGAGGTTCCCAGGAGCTTCTAGCCACTGTGGCTCAGTATGAGTCCACAATTCAACGCCATGAGGATGCCTTTGCCCAACAAGAAACTTTAATGGTTCAACACTCTCAGTTACTTGCAGATCTTATGGCTTCTGTTTGTCAACTCTTTGACAAGGTCCATGTTGATTCAACCCCAGCTCCTGCTGCTGCTTCAATACCTCTGCCAGAGTCCCGAGTAATCTCCCCTATGATGGAACCTCGCCTACCACCACCACAACATTTCTCAGGTGACCCCAGTGCTTGTGATGGCTTTCTAACATTTTTAGCTAACTTTTTTGAACTGCAGCCTTCATCTTTCCCCTCAGACCGTGCTCGTACTGCATATGTCATCACCCTGTTATCTGGTAAGGCCCTCTCCTGGGCCACTGCGGTCTGGAAGGCGAAGGCACCCTTCTGTTCAAGTTACAAGGCGTTTGAACAAGAATTCAAACGGGTGTTCGATCACCCCATCAGTGGTCGGCAAGCCTCAAAAAGACTCCTAACGCTACGACAAGATACTGGCAGTGTGGCAGAATATGCCATAAAATTTAGAACAATGGCAGCTGGAAGTGGTTGGAACAATGAAGCCCTCATGGTCTGTTTTCAAAATGGGTTATCTGAGACAATCCAGGATGAACAGGCTACCCGGGAACCATCTCTGGATCTCGAGAACCTCATGGAGCAAGCCATCCGTTTGGACAATCGACTGAGGGAGAGATATTTTAACCACCCCAAGCCCTCCTTCGGGGTTCCCACTCCAGCACCTACCCCCACATCACAGGTATCTCAATTCAGTGCAAAACCTATGCAATTAGGCAGAACTCGGCTTTCCCCCACGGAGAGAGACCGCCGCATGAGGGAGCAGCTTTGTCTATACTGCGGTTTATCTGGCCATTTTCGTTTTACCTATTACTATTATTCATTTACGTTTTAATAGTGTATTATCTCCAAAATAAATTAAAACAATCAAAAGAAAAGAAAAAAGCAGCTCGGGGCATCAACAGAGCTATGAATGGAGCGCTCTTCCTCTGTCTCACACATATACACAGGCATCTAAACGCGCAAAAACACACTTAGTAAACTTGACAAAACCTCTTAAAAACCTTTACTGCCAGCTGTGTAAAGGTTATTATGCGTTATTGAAACATCAAAGATGCAGCAAAGAAAGATCATTTTATGCAACAGCCTTACATTTAAAAAAAAAAACATAAGAGCGATCATATGCAAAAAAAAAAAAAAAGACCCAGCCTATAATTTGTTCCAGATGTTTTCTTTCCCTTATTTATCGATCGGAAAACGGTGCCCGCCTCTCCTTTCACTCCGCCCCGAAGCCCCGGCTGGCCCTCCTTGGCCCAAGGTATTCGGCGGGCCGAAAAAGGCCGGCCGCTGGCCCCAAGAAAGCCCCGCTTTGGCCCGATTAGGCCCCGGAAGTGACAGTGGAAATGCCACTGGCCTTGGCTCGCCCTGGCTCGCTCGCTTTAGGCGCGATAGTGGAAACGCGGCTATTGCCCACACTATTTAAGCAACACACTCACTCATTCACATTGCCGAGTCTTGTTAACTGTAAAGTAACACTACAATGTGTTTCCTAGTCTTGTTTTCCTGTGTTTTGACCCAAGCCTTGTTAGCCCGCCTGCCTTCTGACCACTCGCCTGATCCTTTGACTACAATTCTGGACTTCCCTTGTATGTCTGTTTGCACCTGTATTGACCATTGCTTGCCTGACCACTGATTAAACCTGCACGTGGAACCTATCTCTGTTGTTTGTGTCACTTGTGTTCTATTTGATTTGATTATGCTTGCTATCTGTCATTGACGACATTATTTGACAGTTTTATTCACTAGTAACATCAGACATTTGTCATTATCAGATTATATTCCACAATAGGCTAACTGACACTGTAAACATTTATTTTCATGCACAACCCTGTTCGCTATGAAAGAAAAAATCATATCAAATGCTTGTCGTAATCATAACTCTAAAATGAGATATGATCATTTAAATGAAGTGCACACTTTCGGTTTCATTTTGACTTCTAAGTGCTCGTTCATACTTCGTGCGCGGCTCCCAAATGTTCACTTTGTGCCACAAACTGAATATTATGTACAACTGTACTACCTGCTACTTCAACATTTGCAAGTTCTGTTCACTAAAGTAGATGCGCGCGCGTCTATCATTATGTAGAGCGTGCTCTCACGGTCAGCAGCTCACGTTACATGTGATTTCCAGGCCGCGAATACATCATTATATGAAGACAAAAATGACATTTTCAGGTGAATTATACCTTATAAATACAGTATGTGACTCTTTCAACATCATTTGGAGGTGTCTATGTCACTGAGCAACGAATGTGAAACAATGAAAAAACTTGTGCGGCCGCCTTTTCTTCTCTCATTAACTTGAAAATTTGATTGACAGAATCATAGAAATGTTGGATTAAGATCGTCAAGGGGGTAGAATCGAGATCGCAATCTTTTTACCATTAATTGTGCGGCTCTAATCCCTAATCATAACTCCTGTACAGTAGTTCCACAAATTTCTGACACTCGATGACACTGGAATACCCTGTCAGAAAAGTCTAGTAGCTGTCAATGAGCTTTTTACAGTGTCTGCTATAATGTTAATGCTGTTGTGTGTTTACATTGATGAGTATGACCACTGTGTTAAATGCACAGTACTGTTACGATCCTATTGCCGCATTAGATCATTATGATAACATATACCTTCAGTGATTTCCTGAAGATAAATACCCAAAAATAACAACTGAAATAAGTACAGCAGTCGCGATCGTCTGATCTCATATGAAGCTAGAAATCGCGAGGACATATGATGACGTGTGCAGGTACTGTAGTGCTGTCCCAATTCTTAGGGGTAAAATTTGAAGCCCTTCAACTTAACCCTCAGTTGTAAGGGGTAGGGGTTCAAAAATAGAATTGGGATCGGGCCTTAATATTTAATCCACATAAATTTGTTAAAAGTGTTAAGTTAACTTAATTTGTGTTGTGACAACATGAAAGAATTGTGTGGAACCCTGCACAAATATGGTTGTTAGTTCATAATAAGTTGAAGCACATTGTCAGATTTTGCTGTATTTGGCTTAAGCGTTCTTTGGTGGCTCGCAAATGTATAGATGACTCTAATACATCAAATAAGTAAGCTGACCAAAGTTCTTACGGGCAGAAGACTTTATTGAAGAGAATTAATTGTGCAGTTCATCAGCAGTGATGTTAACTTGTCTGTCTTCAAGTAACTTAAACCAAAATACAGTCTGTGAGACTCTAATTTATAACAAAGGATGAAACCCCCCTGGAGATTACCCAACTGCTTTGGTTGGGTCACATCTCTTGAGTTCCTGTAGGTCAATTGGTTGCATATGAAACAAGCCAATACAATCGATCAACATACAGAATTATTGTGCCTTCTTGCAGCCCGATAGCAACTCTCACAACCTGGTACTGGGCTGTGACCCCTGATCTACACTACAAAACAGCTGGCAAAATCTTCAGCCCTCTTCAGTTGAGGTTAAATTTTCAGGTGTTCAAAGGGTTTTATTATCAGTAACTTAATATGTATTCAAGAGTTCACACTTGTTTGGCATGCTATCCCGGAAGAGACCTAAGCTCAAAAGATCCTCGAGCCCTAAGCTCCCTCCCGTTAGCAGGACGAGAGGGGAGTGTGAGCTCAGGTAGATCTTGATGAACTCCTCAGGCTTCTTTCTATTCTAATGACAGATATAGGGTCGGCTAAAGGGAGATATAAGGCTTACTAAGAGCTCGACTATGGTGCCAATTTAATGTCCAGTTTACTTAGGTTGTGTATTTTTGGACTGTGGGAGAAAACCAGGGAACCCAGGGGAAACCCACGCGAGCACAGGGAGAATGAGCAAACTCTAACATTCTTACTGTGAGGCAACAGTGCTAACCACTGGCTAATCATTGGCTGCCGTGTTGCTCAATCTAGAAAGGAGGGGGAGTAAGGGTGGGAGGGGGATTCTTCAAGACGAAGATAACTGAGTTAAGAGGACAATCATAAGCATGTGATCCTCTTGAAAGTAGTTTATAAATAAACTTCACTTGAATGAACAGCCAAACTACGTGAAAAAGCTGCCGTTTTGAATATACCTGTGTTTGTGTGGACAAGGCCTTAATGTTGAGGACTCTACTCCCCATTGTGAAGCTTTAGGTGAGCGCTGAGGCTTCTTTTACACTTAAAGCCCTTTCCACATTCACTGCATTTAAAACGATCCTTTCCTGAGTGAGTCTCCATGTGTTGCTTAATGGAGTCTTTGCGTGTGAGACTCTTTCCACACTGATCACATGTAAACAATATGGTTCCAGTATGACCATTCATGTGGTTCTTGAGGCTAGTTTTGGTTGTGAAACTCTTTCCACACTGAGCACATGTAAAGGGCTTCTCTCCAGTGTGAGTTCTCATGTGGTGTTTGAGTGTGCTTTTAAGTGCAAAACTTTTACCACACTCTGTGCATGTGTAAGGTTTCTCTCCAGTGTGAATCCTCATGTGGTGTTTGAGTGTGTTTTTATGTGGAAAACTTCTACCACACTCTGTGCATGTGTAAGGTTTCTCTCCAGTGTGAATCCTCATGTGGATGTAAAGGTCTTGTTTTTTACCTAAACTCTTTCCACACTGTTCGCAGGTGTAAGGTTTCTCCCTAGTGTGAGCTCTCATGTGAGCAATCAGGTTCGGCTTTTTACTGAAACTCTTTCCACACTGTTTACAGCTGAAAGACTTCTCTCCAGTATGAGTTCTCATGTGTTCTGCAAAGTGTCCAGCATGATAAAAGCTTTTTCCACACTGTTGACATGTGTATGGCCTCTCTCCAGTGTGAATTCTCATGTGGATTTTAAAGTTTTGTATTTGACTAAAACTCTTTCCACACTGTTCGCAGGTGTAAGGTTTCTCCCCTGTGTGAACCCTCATGTGAACATCAAGGTTTGGCTTTTGACAGAAACTCTTTCCACACTGTTTACAGCTGAAAGGCTTCTCCCCAGTGTGAATTCTCATGTGTGCTGCAAAGTGTCCAGCATGATAAAAGCTTTTTCCACACTTTTGGCATGTGAACTTCCTCTCTCCAGTGTGAGTTCTCATGTGCGCTGCCAGGTTTCTTGCATGACGGAAGCTTTTTCCACATTCTTGGCATGTGAACTTCCTCTCTCCAGTGTGAATTCTCATGTGGGCTTTAAAGCCTTGTATTTGACCAAAACTCTTTCCACACTGTTCGCAGGTGTAAGGTTGCTCCCTACTGTGAACTCTCATGTGAACATCAAGCTTTGACTTCTGACTGAAACTGTTTCTACACTGTTTACAGCTGAAATTACACCCAGATTTGGATTTCCGAGGTCTTCCGTGTGATGAAGTCTTTTTAGTCAGTGTGGGTTTTTCATCAGTCATTATTTCTTGGGGTTTCTCAAACTGCTGTTTCTCATCTACTTCATTCTGTCCATGAGTCTCTTCTTTCAGCACCATCAGATCTAAAAAAAAAAAAAAAAAGAGTTAACTTTAGTATGAAGGCTCAAAGCGATAAGCAAGAAATGGATGTTTCACCCACAAATGAAAATAACCTTACCATTTACTCTCCATTAAGGTAGTTTTAAACATTTCCTTTATTGTGGAACACAGTAAGCCAGTGTTTTTTTTTCTTTCTTTTTTTTAATATCTTATTTGTGTTCAACAGGATTAAGAAACTCATAAAGGTTTAAAACCACTCAAGGAAGAGTAAATGGTGAGGCTATTTTCATTTCTACATCAACTATTCCTTTAAATGGTTCCTACAATTACCCATTTTTTACAAGATGTAAAATAAGTCTATGGTGTTCCCAGAATGTGTCTGAGGTTTCAGCTCAAAATCAGATCATACACCTTGTAGAATATTTAATTTAGGGGTCAGAGGAAAACCAAGCTCTTTTTGTGCCTGTGGCTTTAAATGGAAATACATGTTTAGAGTTACTGAAGTTTGTCCTGCACGCTTGTGTGTTTTTTTTAGTTACATATTTGGTTTGGTGCGTTAATCTTATCGTTGCTATTATTCAAAAGAAGGTAATGATTCGCACTCAATTGCTTCGTACTGTTTTTATTTTTACTTTTTCTTACATTGTACGGGTGATAACGGACAAACAGACGTTTCGGCACGAAGCCTTCCTCAGTGTGTGGCATAATTCTCTAACTCCACCCTTTTATCCCATAGTCAATCACAATGTGCAATTAGTTAGACCTAAATAAAAATAAATAATAATGTTAAAATATTTTAGATATTTCTTAGCAAAAAATCTTAAATATTGTGTAAAAACAAGAGAGCTCGACTAGGATCCACACACTTTTTTCCAAAATAAACTTTCTTTAAAATAAAAAACAAATGAATAAAAGTTTTGAAAACTATAATAAACTAAATCTATGCACAACAATCTGTCCAGGTCGATGTCCTCAGCAGTAAATACATGGAGCACGTTTGAACAAATGAAGCACAAAAATAATTAAACTATTATGATAAATAGAGTTAAAATGATCTTTTTGAATGAAAAGTTTAAAGTTTTATTGAGATGGATTGTTGGTGATTGTGTGGGTTTTGGCCAGGTTGGGTAACAAAACATGAACAAAGGAAAATAAAGACTTGTTTAAAAAGATTTAAGACCTACAACACAGTATTTCCGTAAATTTAAGACTTCTTAAGGCCTCAAATTTTAGGTTTTTGAATTTAGGACATTTTAAGACCCTGCGGGTATTACATAGATCATATCTGTGAGAACTAGTAACAACTACTAAAAACAAGTTTAAACCCATAAAGAAATTGATGAAAAAGGGAATTGTGATCAACGTGTCATATGCAAATGGAAAGTACTAAGCCAACACTATCACTGTAATAGCAGATATCTTCTATGAGAATACTGTAGGTCAAATATCTTCAGCTCAGTTAAACTTTTTAATTTTTTGTTTTTATTTACTTTATATAGCGCCAGTGCCCAAGGACGCTTTACAAACAGTAAGAGAACAAGAAAAGCAATAAACTTAAGAAGGTAGAGAAAATGGGAGACTAATAATACATAAAATAATGACAAAAGACATGAAAACAAGTGATGAAAGAAACTCATTCCTGTCTTTTCATTGAGTGCTTATGTGCATTTAGGAGAACTAGGCAGCACACTCAGGGCTTCAAGATGGATTTTGAGAATGAAAACCAACCTGTTTGTTCCTGCAGATCTTCCTGTTTGACTGTGAATGTTTCTTCAATCTTCACATCTTCAGTCTCCTCTTTAATAAACACCATCTTTATAACAGTGTGGAGATCAGTCGCTTCAGCAGGAGTTTTTCTCTGTGTTTGGACACTTTATCCTGTTTAAAATTAACAAAACAATAAAAATGTCCTGTTTAAAATGAATAAAACAATTAACAAAAACAAAATAACTTCACTTCAGCACTTGCTTCAACAGTTTCTTTATATAAGAGTGATTAACAAAAATAAATCAGGTAAGTCTGAGCAAAAAACAATAGCCACAAAAGAGAAGATTAAGACCAGTACTTCATTTCTTATATATAGTGATGTTTACTTCGAATACAATTACATTATGCTATTTAATAAATTAAACCTTCATTAAAACACTTATTACACTCTTTACTGTTGCTTTATTCAAACTTTAACAAATGTTAATTATTTTGTTTGTTTTATTTATTTTAATGTCTGCTTACAGCAACGTTGTAGCACTCTTTTGCAGGAGACAAGAATTTACTCTTGTGGACAAATAAAGTTTATCCTATCTTATTCAAACAATAGACCTTACTGTGAGTAAAATAGTACTTCGTTGTATAAAGGGTTAAAATAATATTTTCAACAGCAGGTACATTTAGCATGAAAGGAACAACCTGAAATTTAAACCAGTCGGTTTACATCTGTGTAAAAGCTTTAAAACAAACCTTTCTCCAGTTGAATCATAGTACTGGAGTGGCGCAGCCTTATGATGTCACACCACCACGCCAAAATAAAAGTCTTTTTTAAAGCTTTTTCCCTCACTTACTCTTAGTCATGACTTATTGATACATTTCTCCCTTGTTTTCCACTTTTTACTTTATCTGCTTTCTGTTTTGTATTTGTAAGACCATCACTATTTATGTCAATTGAATAAATCTATTTACAACCACTAGATCTTTGCCTTCAGGTAGGTTGGTAAGTGGTTGCATTTTCTTTAAACGATTGCATTTCTTCATCCATAGCTTTAATCCACATTCACTTGCATTCACTGGTGTTACCACCTCTTTGTATGTTTGAATGGGAAAACATCAAATTCTCCAAAATTGCCAGCCAGGTTCCAACCTATATAATATGTTGTAGCTTATTTGGGCTACAGTCCATTTGTCAGGATAAAAACAATATTTATAACCAAATAAACAAAAAAGTTCCCATGAACAAAAAAGAAGCTTTTAAAAATGACTGAAGAACTTAAGACAGCGTTGAACATCATGTGACATCCACGCATGTTTAGATTTTACATTTTATAATGTTATCATTCAGATATTATTTGAGTGTAAATTCAGAATGTGCAACTCACCTTTTCAGTCTTCAATGAAGAAGTGGGATGAAAAAATGGCCTCAGTGGGTTTTTCTTTGTAGGTTGTTGTTGGTAATAATCCCAATGTAGGAATCTACAATAGTAGTTTGTCCTCCAAAGTTGTTCTCTTTACTTGGCGAAATAAGCCAATGAAGATTCTCTTAGGAACTCAGAATATAAAGATATCACCCTGCTGAGCTACTGGATCTGGAATGTGATTGGATAAGACTCAATTGGCCCCCTTTAATTCTGGTATAAAGACGCAAATGAGCAGTGAAGACTCAAGACACATACAGTGGGGGATGGGAAGTCCAGCAGCTTTACAAGTCATAGTTTTACATAGAAATAATGATGTATTGGGAAAATGAGTTGACTTTAGCCATCACTATTTGTTTTGTTGCTGTTGTTTTATAATACTATTGATTGAAGCGTTTTTATTTTGGCTGCTGCATTTTGTAGTTAATGTTGATACATTTATGTTGAGGTACTTTGATTTGAAACACATTTCAATTTATCTTTCCCAAGCCTGGTTAAAAGGTAATGCAAGAGTTGTGTGTTGTTTTTTTTAGAAGCTTCTCAGAGTTTTGTGTGAGTTTAGAGTCCTTTATTTCTCTTAAAGCACATGCTGTGTATTACTGGCTTCTGTAAGACTCTTAACATGTCAATTATTTCTTTTAAAAGTGTCTATAGATTTTAACAATCAAAATGTAACTTGTTTCTGTGCCAATTTAGTTTTCTTTTCTTCGTCTTTTAGTTGAACAGAACATGTGTGAGCAGCTCAGCTTTCTCGAAAGCCTCTTATTCACCTGATAGGTAACAAAGATGTTTTTCCCTCTATTTAATATTTGTGTTTGTGCATACATATGCATAGACATTCACAAAAGCATGTGATACCCTGTCACAAAACCTTTTTTAACACAGTAAAGCTATCACATACTGTCCATTTTTTTTTAAATATGTGATGCATCTAAATATTTATAATCAGAAAATAATTACATTACAAGTTAATTTGTTGTATAGGCAGCATATACAGGGTAATGCAATGACAGGAGTTCACTTTCATAACTACAATGCAGAACTTTAAATGTGATTTATCTGCTCCACCTACACCAACTACAGCATTTCTCAGACTTCTTTTTTCACTATGGTGTAATTACAGTGGTGAACATCACATAAAACAACAACTGCACTTACTCCTGTAACTTGTTTGGAACAATGACATTTAAATATCTGTGTCACATATTCATTTAAATAAATGGCTCATCATTGTGTGCGGTCATCTTTAGTAATAGCTGCCTGATATTTAATTGAATAGGGTCGTTTTACATATAAGAAACCTGTTAACAGGTATAGCTGTTAATGCCAATACCAATTTGATAGCCTAAAGCAAATTACATGAACAAGACCTGCCTTACATCTCTTAGGACAGTGGTTCTCAAACTGTGATACGTGTACCACTAGTGGTACGCAGGCTTCCTTCTAGTGGTACACAGAGGAATGAAATATGTCATGTACATGCTACACACATTTCAAAATTTAGCAAAAATGATGTATATAATATGCCTATATTATATATAGCCTATATTTCTGAGGTAATCTGCCACGTTTTTTAACTGTGCAGAGTTGTAGCTGCTTTACTAGGCCTACTAGGCTACTGTATTTCAATACTGCTCATTTTGGTGGTACTTGGAGAAGCCATTTTTTTCTGAGGTGGTACTTGATGAAAAACGTCTGAGAACCTCTGTCTTAGGACAAATAATCATAGGTGTCTATAACAACACATGCTTGATTGCCCAGATCTTTACAATCAGTACATCTGAATGGTGCCTTTTAGTAAGCATAGTTCTTCACCAATACCAGTTTAATACTTTATATAATTACACATGTGAGGCATCACAGTGGTGCAGTGGGTAGCATGTTTACTTGACAGCAAGAAGGTCGCTGGTTTGAGCCTCAGCTGCGTCAGTTGGCATTTGTGTGTGGAGTTTGCATGTACTCCCCGTGTTTGTGTAAGATTTCCTCCAGGTGCTCTGGTTTCCCCAAAGTCCATAGATGTGGTATGCATGCGGTGTGTGTGAATGAGTGTGTATGTTTCCCAGTAATGGGTTGCAGCTGGAAGGGCATCTGCTGCGTAAAGCATGTGCTGGATAAGTTGGTGTTTCTTTCCACTATGGTGACCCCAGATTAATAAAGGGACTGAGCTTTAAAGAAAATGAATAAATATATATGAGTAATATATCACACGAGGAGCAGTGCGATGAGGCCTTCTATCTGTTTTTGTATTTCTGTTTGTTGTAATGGCCTGTTGTTATTGCAATAAAAAAAATAAATGAATTTTTTTTTTTCAAGTTCGATGTGGCTGTAGATCAGCACTGGTGGAAGGCATGTGTTATATTGTACACTAGGCACTCGAGAACGATTGTCCTTCTACCTTTTGTTTCAATCCCCTGACAACTTTGCTCATCTTCAGAGCTCCTTCATCTGTCATAGACAGCAAGAGTCCCGAGATGCTCAAAGTCCAGAAAAGGAACCAAAAACTATGTCAAAACATGTGACATTTGACTTTAGTGGTTCAATTGTAATCGAGTTCCAAGAACATTTTGTGTGCAAGAAAATGTGGAAAAAAACAGCCATGTCCAAAGTAGGAACTGTTGAAGCATATAGTGGCTGTTTTTGCCTCTGTATTCTCTTAATTTGCATTCAGCAGAAGAAACTCAAACAGGTTTGGCTCAAGGATGAGTAAATGACAGAAATGTGATATTTATGTGAACTACCCCTTTATTGCTTCTGTAAGTAAAGGTAAATTAAATATTACTACTGAAGATATTGCTAAACAATGGCAGGAAACGTTGAACACAGATAATAAGAGACAACAATTCATGTAGGCCTATGAAGATGTAGAAATAGAAAAGAGGTCATAATTATGAGAATGATATTTGGACTCAGATATTATTAGGAAAGTAATGTGTTGTAGACATATACAAATCATCATAAAGTGGATTTAAAAAGTTAAGAAAATATTTAGATTTAAGGTTTGTGTGTGAGAGAGCAGATATAGTGTAAAGTGAAAACCATGGGAGAAATGTACCAAAAAGTCATGACTGCAACAGTATGTGGCAAAAAAAGCTAAAAAAAAGACTTTTATTTTGGCGTGGCATGTGACGTCATCAGGTGGCGCCGCTTCAGCGCTGTAATAATTCAACTGGAGAACCAGACGATTCACACTGTGACAAGAGGTTTAACCAGTTAATAATCTGACAACACAAAAGATGATTTACTCTGGAGAGAAACCGTACAGACCTAATCAGTGTCTACAGAGTTTCGCTTATTCGGCGCAGCTTAAAAAACACATGGACAAAAAGTTGCACACATGACATGAATGCAGCAAAACATTTTCTCATGTGCACAGGATGTTTCATGTCTGAATAATGTTTGAAAAGGCTGAGTGACGGCATACTGTTTTCCAACACTTTCAAAATGCAGTATGTGGGGTTGTAAATGTGTCGCGTTTAATGTAAACACAATAATGGTGGCTGAGTGAAGAACAGTTTTATTAATATCTAGCGAACAGCACCTCTGCGGCTTAAAATCTCTTTGCAAGTGATTGTACAGGTTGTACTCTACTCTCTAGTGTATGCATGTAGCTAGTATTGTTTTGTATGATGTTCTCTGTCTGACTCCCTGAATGAGAAACAAATCACTGGGAAGACACCACACATTAAAG